TCACACATTTGTATTATTTATTAAAACACTAGATTTCACAATTAGGTTTAGTTCCTCATCCGATGCATGGATGTTTAACCTGCCTCTGGAAGGCTTGTTAACTTCCATGTGACGGTGGTTTGTTAATCTGTGCCTGAGTTACTAGATCATAACTCACAGAATACAGTGTGTGCCAGGGAAGAAAGACAGCCTAGACGTTACCCAGTGTGCGCAAGAGGTGCCCCTCCACGCTCGTGGCTCTGTGGCACAGAGCTTGCAGGTGGAAAGGGAGAGACAAACAGCAAACCAGCGCAAGTAATAGTATGCTGTGACAGACACAATGAAGGAGACGGGGGCTGTGGCAAAGAATGACAGGAGGGACCCTAGTTTAGAAGACTGCTCAGAGGAATGACATTTAAGCTGAGACAGGAAGGGCAGTGAAGGACATTTGGGGAAGAAGGCCTGAGAGGTGGGCAGCCGGGGTGGGGAAGAAGTGGAGGAAGGCCATGGCGGATGGGGGCAGCCCATAGGGCGAGGCTGGAGCAGGCAGGGCCTCCTGGCACAGGGCCTGGCAGGCCAAGCTTAGACATTAAGATTTTATCCAAAGTGACAAACTACCACCACATGGACATTAATGAGCCTTACCCAGTTTGAAGTAAGGGACTAACATTATATCTATTTCTTACCTTTGGTTTTTAAGCAAATTCTGATGAATTTAAAGTCTTCTAAAAGACCAAATACTTAATGGAATGAAGGAAAAACACTAAAATGTTGACAGTGTTATCTTTGGAAAGCAAGATAATGGTTTTTCGATATCATCTGATATACTTTAATATTCTGCTGGCTCTTGCTTTTAATAAACAGCATTTACTACTTTCAAAATTACAAAAACAGGCCGGGCGCGGTGGCTCACGCCTGTAATCCTAGCACTCTGGGAGGCCGAGGCGGGCGATCGTTCTGAACTCAGGAGTTCGAGACCAGCCTGAGCAAGAGCGAGACCCCGTCTCTACCAAAAAATAGAAAGAAATTAATTGGACAGCTAAAAATATATACAGAAAAAATTAGCCGGGCATGGTGGCGCGTGCCTGTAGTCCAAGCTACTCGGGAGGCTGAGACAGTAGGATCGTTGAGCCCAGGAGTTTGAGGTTGCTGTGAGCTAGGCTGAGGCCACAGCACTCGCCCCAGGCAAGAGAGTGAGACTCTGTCTCAAAAAAAATAAAAAAATAAATAAATAAAATTACAAAAACAACACATTCTCATACAAAAATAAATGGTAAGCCAAATTTCATTTGCCAATAGTATAAATATATTTGTGTGTTATATATGTTCTATAACTGTTCACTGAAATTTAAAATAAAGTGGTCTAAAATAAATTACCAGCAGGTAAAAATGCTGTTTTTTTTTTTTTTTTTTTTTTTTGAGACAGAGTCTCACTGTGTTGCCTGGCCTAGAGTCAGTGCCGTGGCATCAGCCTAACTCACAGCAACCTCAAACTCCTGGGCTCAAGCGAGGCATGTGCCACCACGCCTGGCTAATTTTTTCTATATATTTTTAGTTGTCCAATTAATTTCTTTCTAATTTTAGTAGCGACGGGGTCTCGCTCTTGCTCAGGCTGGTTTCGAACTCCTGAGCTCAAACGATCCGTCCGCCTCGGCCTCCCAGAGAGCTAGGATTACAGGCGTGAGCCACCGCGCCTGGCTCTGTTTTTCTTTTTTATCTCTCCAGTAAGAGAGAGATTTTTCTAAGGAGAATTAGTTATTCTGTTATTTTTTTAATTGACGCAGAATAATTGTACATATTTATAGGGTACATAGTGATGTTTTGATATATATACTGTATAGTGATCAGATCAGGGCAATTAGCAAAGCCATCATCTCAAACATTTATCATTTCTTTGTGTTGGGAACACTCAATATCTAAGGAGAATTTATTTATCAAAATCGTCATCACTGAAATGTATCTGTTTAGCACCCTCTGTGTAGGATGCTGCTCCAAAGGCTAATAGATATTCCTGGGTTCAAATGGTGGGCCTCTGTCTAATTACAGCTTGCTCCTGAACTCTCCCTCTATTCTAGAAGTAATTTATGAATATGGTCCTCGGCTACACTAGCTACCTTGGAAAGGAGAGAGGTTATTGTTGCATTATACCAGTTTAGCAAAGGGGATTCCTCTTTCCGTTCCCCTTCCTTCCTTTCTCAGGCCACAAGCTAGGTATGTTTTTAATTCTTTGTGGAGAAGGCTCACCTCACCCTTAACAAAAAGTGGGTCAACTTTTCTCTACCCTTCCTAACAGGTTATTCAAATATGCGGCATGTATTAATTAAACTTATCAAGTCAAAATTAGCCATTCACTGGAAATGAGGGCACCTTTAATCCAAAATGCAAATGTATACGATGTTTCCCAGCTTTCCTAAAAATGGCAACTTTATTATACAAGATTCTGAGACACTATTTAGAGAGTTTAGAGATGTGGTCCCTGATCTTGAAGAACTTCAAAAAGGAAACATAGAACTAAAAGACAGAAAATCTTTCAGGAAGGCTTAGTAGTATTTAAAAAAAAAAACAACTGTCAAACGGTCAGAGTCAAAAGACGACGAAACTTACTGTCCATCTTTGTCAAGCTGGAAACTTTGGAAATGCTGCATATATATAATTTACACTGTGGTGTGCAGGCTTTTTCCTGTTCTGGGTGAGACGGGTGGAGAAGAACCGGGAGAGGGTGTGCACAGAGGGCACAGGGAAGGAGAGAAAGAACCGGTAGAGTGGGGACGGTAACCAGAACACGCCGCTTGTCATGTTTTATACATTGCCTGAGATCGCATTTCAAAAATGGTTTCTAACTTAAAAGTTTTCTGAGTTTGAAGACCCACTGTGATGGATTTAACAACGGCAGTTGCCATTTATTGAAGTCTCTTTCCTGGTCTGGGACTGGGCTATGTATTCTGCATATTTCATTTAAATGATCCCTAGAAAAACCACAGGAGGTAGGTCTTACTATTCCCACTTTACAGATGAAGAATCAGAGGTTCTGAAAGGATGAGTAATTTTCATCACGTATGTAGCTATTAAGTAGCAGGGCCAGGATTCGAACTCAGGTTTGTCTGTACAAAGCCCATCCTTTCAACCACCATGTTATGCTGTATCTATGCTTATTAAGGCTTCGTGTGCATACATTCACAGGCACTTAAAATATATGCCAGTACTCCAAAACATAGACATACACCAGTGCAGCACATTTACAAAAGTGTGTTTTTAGTGATGCACACTGCCTAGATGTCGCATTAGTGAAAGAGGTTTTAACGGCTTGAGAAACAAGCTTTGGTCACAAAGGACGGAGAAATGCTCCCAGACTGGGAGGACAGACTGTGCAAAGATCTGTTGCTTTGGGTGGAAGCTGCCTGTAGGGGGAGGCAATCTCTCTTTGGCCTCCCCATACGGCAAATCTTTTCATGAAAGAATATTTTGAAACTTAACAACAATAACAACATAGAAAGCTAAAGGGGTGGCATAGGCATTATGGGAATGTCATCAGCAACAGGAAAGACGGGCAGTTGTTCCAGGAAAATCACTGGCAAAAAGGAAGGGAATATTTATACGGAAAGGAGAGCATGTCCGTGAAGCCAAACTTCTTGCATTTGTCTGATTCTTTGTTGTAGTTTATGGCTGCTGTGTTTGTCCGAAGCTAGTCCCACTTCCAGGAAAGGAGAACTAAGTGTTTCCCCCACTTTAAATGGTGAAATTCTTCCCGGGTTTTTTTGGGGGGGGCGGGAGGGAATCATTTTTCTCTCCCAGGAAGTTGTCAAAATATGTGATTTTTAACTTTAAAGAAAACCAGGACTGAAATGTGTCAAGTCCCTAGAAATAGTCTGAAACTCAATTGAGTTTATGCAGAAAACACACACTAAAAATCCCAAGATCATCTGGACACAGAGATCTCCATTTCTCTGACACCACTGGAGCAGTAGGAGGGTCAGTCTTGTAATCACCAACTTGAGAAGCAGCCAAGAGAACAAACAAAATGGACAGGTTTCAAAACAATGCGTCCTAGTTTCTGTTCCACTGAACTTGGAGGCCCATGTCATCTAAGGGTAACACTGGACTCAAGGAGAGACTTAGGAAAAAAACTTGTTCCTGAGATGTGGAGGGCAGAGCCTACGTAGGATGTACTAAGGGAGGTGGCTATTTAAAGGGCACCCGAGGCAAATGTACATATAAAATAGTGACTCTTTGTCTCCGTTTTGTGTTTGTATTGCTATAAAAGAGGCATATTACAGTAGTAGTGACAACTCCTCTGAATTGTGTTTATTAATAGTTATTAACTTTGCAAGTGTAAAATTTTCTTGTTGGGTGTTTGAAATATTTGATAGGCAAAACTGGATATAGCCCAGAATGGAATGGACAAGCAAGTAGAAACTGACACTCCCAGGGAGATGGGTAGACTCATGTCGGAGATTGTTTACAGGATTAAGCAGGAGAAACCAGAGCTCTCGGTAGAACCCATGGTCAAGTGGACAAGATTTGAAATGAGGGAGGGGCCTATGCTTTACAAAAATGAGACAAGCATAGGTGGTGCAACATGAATTCCCTGGGTTTATGTGATAAATGCACACTTGTAGCAAAAATCAAGAGAAGCTCACAGTTGTCTGAGAGTCCTGAAAAATATGTGTAAAATGTGAGTCTTCTAGCCGAGGTCTTGAATAAATAAACATCCAAGGGCTACATTGCTCACCAGGTGCCCTTCCTTAAAGCCCTCTCTTTAGTGGCACTGCCATCCTGGTGTTTCCTATTTGCCAGTCCCACTGCTTATGGAATACTTTTACTTGCTGTTTAGTATTAGGTGGGAGGATTACTGAGAAGCATCATTTTGCACCTGGGGAAGGGATCGGGTTGGCCATGCCAAAAGGGGTGGGATGGAGGTTAGACAGGCCTCCAAGCGGAGCAAGAAGCGAGGGCCGCAGTTGCTGCAAGCACCAGCTCTGGGGTGGTGTTCTGAGCAGGTGATGGAGAGGGAGGTGGCTTACCTGAAATTTCTGAAAGTGTGGGCTTGTCTTCTTTCCAGAGGTTCCCATCACAAACAGGAAGTCGGGGGTTAGCACAAATGGTACTCTCTCTTTATTAAAGCCCAGGAAACTTTTGTAATTCCCAAGAATGTGTCCAAAGTCAATATGGAATAGGTTTCCTTAAGAGAAGAAAATGTCTGATATCATTAAACTGGCATAAGCACTTGTAATAAACTTTGTTTCTGGAAATATTTTTGAAGTTGCCTAAAAATGAGCTACCTTGGGTGAGAGAGCACTTTTTTTTACAATGTTTTGTCAGCTTGTGGTATTTTTCTTCTTAGCAGGTGTATGAAAGTAGTAGCCACAAAGCATTCTTTGAACCAAGTATGTTTTTGATATCCGTCTGGCGTTCTTTACATGATAGCCAAACGCCATAAAAAATTCGCATCTCAAAATTATTCTTAGAAACATAAATCAAAACTCTCTGGCCAATATGTCATCATTATGCCTACGACTCTCTTGTGCTCTGTAAGTAACTCAGGACAGACTGATGTTTCATTCTGCTTGGGTCGGGGAGGGGCATTCACCTTTTTCTTCTGAGTAGCACAATGGAAATAAATCATGAGTCTCCTTTGGGTCAATTTCTACCACTACCAGCATCACCGCCACAACTGCCATCATCTCATTTGTTTAGCCCTGTATCATTTCTATAGTCCGTACATGCATTCTCTCTTTCGGTTCTCCAAGGGAGTGAGCAGTTGGCCCCTCTCTGGTGCTTTGTCCAGACTTCACTCTTATAATGGTCCAAATTCATAGAGAAAAATCTCATGGTGTGGTGGCCATTACTAACCTCTGTCAGAGAGAACAGCAAACCGCTGAAGCTGGTGGGTTACAGAAGCAAAACAGTTCAGATTCAAGGATATCTATGAGTTCTTTCTGCTGCTTCTCTGCAACATCTGACACTGGTGGTCACTTCCAGCTTTGCCAGCTTCTGGGATATGACCCTCTCCTAGTTTCCCAGCTGTCTCTTTAACTCTGCCTTCTTCACTCTCATTTCCTGCCTCTTCTTTTCTCACTCACACCTCGGTCCTCAAGGCAGATGGTCTCTCTAGGGTGATGGCAGCACCAGGGTCCCTACAGAATAATCACTTCTAAATATGTGCCACAGCCTTAAACTGCATTTTGAAATTACTCTGCTCTGGAAGGAGGGGTAATGGGGAATTAGTGTTTAATGGGTACAGAGTTTCAGTTGGGGAAGATGAAAAAATTGTGGATGGTGGTGAGTGTTGTACAACAATGTGAATGTACTCAATGCCACTGGACTGTACGTTTAAAAATGGTTAAAATGGTAAATTTTATGTGATGTATATTTTGCCACAATAAGAAAATCATTCTGCAGTAAGTAAACTCACCTGTCTCTGTGATCATAATATTGTCGTTGTGTCTGTCGCCAATTCCCAGAACAAAGGTTGCCACACAGTAGCCTGCACAGGAATAAACAAATCTCTCCACTGCTGCCTGAAACTAATTAAAATGCATCTGAATATTACTTGTCTTCTAACTACAAAAAGCAGCATGAATATAAATGACTTGCAAAAAGACATTGTTCTGGAAACCATTTTCAGAGAGCAAGTTAGTTGTGTCTGATTTCATTAGTGTTATGTATCTATTAAGTGCCAACTTTCTCATCGCTCTGCTTATGTTTCAGGTGAAGATTCAGTGGATCACAACAGCATGTGGGGAAAACGAGTCAAAGGGCAACGGTAATTTAATGAAAGGGTTCGCTTACTCCCCACGCACCACTTGCCCACAACTATACAGAACCCATAGTACTTTCTCCTTCGTTTGTGAACATATGTTTTGCTTGTGACCGCTTAGAGTATGCATGGGTTCACAAATCCACATGTATAACAGATTAATAAGTGCTACTAATTATATTTCCTCCCCAAAAGGCTGCTCACCATGCAAATGAGAAGTGCTAATCCTGTGCAGCAGAACTTGAAACGACAGCCAAACAGCCTAACCACACAGCTTGTGAAGGATTCAGCATATGCACTGCAGAGGAATGGCGGCACTGACATTTTCAGCATCCACGATTTACCATTTAGAGTGCAGTAGTAAATTATAAATTACGTTATTGGGTATGTTGCATTTCCCAGGTAGGAAAGAATTTATATGCGGTAGCTAAATCTTTCGGCTGAACAACGAAAATAGATAGCCATAAAAATTGCTGACATTATTTTACAGAACCAAATTTTAAGCAAAGCCTGCCTGATAATCAAAAGAGAAGCAAATGCTCTCGGAGTCCTGAACTGAATGCCTCTGTTGTACAGAGATCTGCTATGTCACCACCACGGGAAAGCACTTAAAATCCCCTCATTTTGTGACTAAAGGACTTTCTTTACCACTATGTCAGGAGGCAAGACGTTGGTAGGTCCTTTGAAAACCTGCAACCACTATTGCTACCTAAACGACAACTTGACAACTTGTAAGGAGCCTTTAAAGTGGGGAAGAGCATGAGCTCACCTTTTCTTCAATGGGGGATTTTTCTTTGAGCCAGTGATTCAGGACTTCATCTTTAAATGCACCCGTGTTGCCCACCGTGCTTTGCTGAATTTTGGCAATTGTCGTGGCATCTTTGACGATCTCAATCATTCCTACGTGAGGATGCACAGTTTGATGGAGATTGAGGTCTAGTGCCTGACCCGGAGGAGGAATCGCTATTTCTTTGTTGAATGGAAGGCAGAGGTTTTATTTTCATTTTTATACTTTTAAAAACCAGCCTGCTATTTTCCAGGTCCAGGCTGTTGGTTTTCTTAGGAGGAAGAGAAAGAGAAGGAGGAAGGTAGGCAAGTTGTGTGGGATATGCTTTCAACACCCCTGAGTGACAAGAGGAAAGGGCTGGTTTTGAACAGTAATAAATAAAAGCATTTATGTGCTGAGCATATCCTTCTTCACAGGGCAATTTGTGCCTTTTCCTTTTTTAAATTATGGGGTCAAATGTAAATGGTTTTGTAGTTCTCAAATCTCTCAAATCAGAAACTTGTATAAAATAAGTTTGATTGAAACTAATGTTGAATGTCTATAAAAGTACCTAAGAGTGGAGTGTGTAATAGCTTTGATACTGTGAATTCTGGAATATTAAAATAAGTGACAGATCTTTCTATCTATTTTTAAATGTTATTTGTGAGAGAAAAGTTTAATGTGTAATGAAATGAGTTAAAGTTTAGAGGTGGAGAAGGAAAGAGGAGGGAACGAAACGAAAATCATTTCCATGTATAGTCACAAGGATTTGAATCATGTGTTCATGTATTTTCAACATATCCATATTAAATTGAGAGTCACACTCACCAGCATGGAAATGTTTTCTTCCTTTTTATACAGATTATAATTGTGATGTTTTAGTTACTAAGTGCCTACACTGAAGGAATTATAATCTTTTAAAACTAGCTGAGTGGTATATTCATCTCTTGAGGTAACAACATACCTATTTTGTCACCAGTTGAAATGCAGCCATATGGCAGGAGGCACAGATCCAAAGATTCTGTCTCCCAAATGGACTCCATAATTCGTAGAATCTGGGCATCAAAACACAGAAATGTTTCTATTATGAGTATATATATTTATTTAATATATTTGTCTTCTCCCTTAAAAAATAGTAATCTTATCTGGTAACATAAAATATAGAAGTAAATGTAAAATATATAAGTGACAACTGTACTTTTGCTGATCAACCTGGCACTCTAAAGTTTCCCTTCTTTGCAAGCCTGGTCATTTCAGTCCCTGAAATGTACCCTGGAGAAGAGGATAAGTGAATTGCTCTTGGGGTAGGGTTTAGCCATTGTTCACCATCTCTCTCTCTTTAAAATGTTCAACTTCAGTTATGTATATGTTACCACAATAACACTAACATCCTTACACATATTTACCACTCTAAGAGCAGCAATAAGAGAACCAGAGCAGCAATAACAGAAATGGTAGTAATGATAGCTAACGTTTACTGAATGCTATTTTATGTGTGATCCTTGCATTACCCTATAATGTGGATAGGATTATTATTCCCATTCTGCAGGTGAAGGAACAAAGGCTTAAATAGCTTAAATAACTCGTCCTTAGCTGCCAAACTGTGTGCCTATAATACATAAATACAACAAAATACGTAAGGGGAAAGGGAAAATTTTGAGAGGAACAACAGAGGAATTTTTGTATTTTTAAAGTACCCATCTTCAAATAATTCAAAAGATTCTACAGATTTATTTGAAATTTAATAAACTTATAAAAGGTTTGAAGATTTCTTTTTTTCTTTTCAAAAATGTTTCCTGGAAAATACACATACCCTTCTTGAAATGAAAGTAAAGCAAGGGTATTATTGTTTTCACAATAGAAATAAGTAAAAACAGAAACTTAATATGGAAACATGACCAGTTTTTAAATAGGCTACCATTAAATCAATGTGGTTTGTCTTTTTTAAATAAACCACATTAAGTATTAGAAATTGTTACTTCTACAATGTTGAAAAACTAGAATCTGGAGAATATTACTTTACAGATTTGTGAAACTAAAGTCTATCCAGAAATGTTAGAAATACAAAAACAATTAGCACTGATACCTTCACTATTCACCTTCTGCCCTAATAATATGTTCACTCTCGTCACTTTCCTGCATGATTTCTCCAGTTACCTACCTGATAATCTTCTCTCTCCTTCCCATCAAATCATTCTTTTGAGTTTGTGTATGTGTATCAGAGGAGACACATCTAAGCAGAGTGCCTATGGGTGTGTAGACATGTCTATGAACAGGAATAAAGTGCGTGTTGGTGTAAATATGGTTATAGTCTATGTTTTCAAGCTTGAAATGGGGTATATAAAAAGAAGTTAGGTGAGGGAAGTATATCTGGCTACTTGTGAATGTTGGATATGCATCTTGGAAAAAATGGACAGAACTGTGATGCTCATTACATTGCATATCTAATGGTCCACAGCCATGTTCCCCAAGAGAAAATTCTATTACGTAATCTTGGATCACTGTTTATCATATGAAAGAAGAGAACAGAATAGAATCAGTAGAAGGCATGTTTTAGATCTACTACAGAAGTATTTTTTCAGATAACTGAAAACAACTCCTTAGCATTAGCATACCTGTAAAATAAGCATGTCTTGGCGCAGATCGTCACCGTGTTTAAAGATAATTCCAATTGTTTCATTTGATAGAGCTGTAGGATCAGCACATTTAAACTCAAGCCACAGGGGCTTTTTCTTGGAGGCCATCACTTTACATTTTTCAATCTGTAAGAAAGTGGTCACATGTTTCCTACACACAATGAATAATGAATATACATGGTGGAGACACTTGACAATTCTCTTGCAAAGCATCACTATAAATAATCAGGACAAGTCACAGTTGGAAAATCACTTTCAGCATTTGGGTAAAAATACAGAAGGTGTTCTCATCAAATCTAGAAATACTATGTGTGAGCAAATTCACATCACTTAAACCAGTGGTTCTCAAACTATGTTCCAAGGAACCGTAAGAGTCAGCGGAAGTACTTAAGAGGTACAGCAGATCCCACACTCTCTATGCCCCACTCTACAGAATTCTGCTACTCCCATATCCCCTTTAATAGGGAGGAACTTTGCCATTATCTGTTTATATATTTGGCTTCCTCCTAAGATTTAATTTGAAAAGAGTTCTAATGTACATTGTCTAAAACACTATTATTGCAGAATCAGATGCAATAGGTTACATCTAACAAGATGAAATTTAACAGAAATAAGTGGAAAATCTGGCACTTAAGTCTAACAACCCCTCAAGAAAACCCCTCCCACATTCAAATAAAGTCAAGGTAGGGGAAATGTGGCTTAGCAGTCACCCAATTAAAAATAAAAAATGTAGGAGATTTAGCCAAAGATGAGTTCACCATGGATCAAAACTGTGATGTGATCTTAAAAAAACACACACACAATTTTAGAGCTGTATTAATATGTCATAATTCCTACCAATCTCTAAACGATGGACAGTGGGTAGTGGGTGCTTTTGCGATAGGGCCAGCTTGCTGATAATCGTATACAAAATTAAACACACGAGGGAGGAAATTTCCCTTCTTTCCATGAGGCTTAACTCATTGCTACAGGAGTTGCTTTTCTGCCATTAACAGCTAGAAAACTAGGCAAAATATACGAAATGACTCTTCTCAGACATTGGACAACAGGCAGTGTAGGTATGTGACCCCTGAGAAAAGGAAGATAAAAGAGGTGAGCCCTATAACTGCCCCAGCTTACTGCCTGGGGGCTATTTCTAGGCTATAGCAAAAAGAAAGGGAATTCAAACTGAGCCCCCAGTCTAACAGTCTAAAATACTATAACTGAAGTCTCAGAAAGAGTGGAGAGGAAAGAGGGAACAAGAAAAATATTGGCTGAAAAATGCCCAAATTTAATAGACTATAAATTCACAAATCCAAGAAGCTCAATAAACTCTAGTAGACTAAGCATAAAGGAAACCATACCAAGGCACATCATAATCAAATTGCTAAAAATCAGTGATAAAAGAAAATCTTAAAAACAGACTGGGGAAAAAATGACATATATAGAGAGAATCAAAGATAAGAATGACAGTTGTATCATCAGAAAATATGCAAGCCAGAAGAAAATGCTACCAAAAGAGAAAAAAACCTAGTCAATCTAGAATTCTATATTCAGGGAAAATATTTTTCAAAAATGAAGGCAGAATAAAGAGTTTTTTAGGTAAACAAAAGCTGAAAGAACTTACTGCCAGCAGACTTGCACTATAGAAAATGTTAAAGGCTGAAGGGAAGTGATGCCAGATGGAAATCTGGATGTATACAAAGCAATGAAGAGTACCCAGTAATGGTAAATATGTGGATAAACAGTAAAAAAAAAAATTTAATCTATGAAGCCTGTTAAATCTATTTTTAACTGTTTAAAGCAAAAATAATAATGTATTGTGGGGTTTATAACATACGTAGAAATGAAATGCACAAAAATGAAATGTACAAAAATAGTACAAAGGATGGGGGGAGTTAATGGAAGTATACTGTTGTATGTGTAAGTACACATACATGAAGCAGTTTCTTATCTCAACATAATCAAGAGTGTGTGGTATTGATATAAGGACAGACATTTAGATCAATGGAACAGAATGGAGAATCTAGGTATTGACCCGCACATATATGGTCAGTTGATATTTGGCAAAGGTTCCAAGGTAATTAAACAGGAAAGGAACAGTGTTTTCAACAAACGGTGCCAGAAAATCTGGATAGTCACATAAAAAATGGACTCTGATCTTTATCTCATACCACACACAAAAATTAACTCAAACTGGATCACAGACTTAAATGTAAGCGTTAAAACCATAACACTTCTAGGAAAAACTATTTGTCACATTGAGTTAGTCCAGGAGTTCTTAACCTTGGCAATGTTGACATTTGGGGCTGGATAATTTATGTTATGGGGGACCATCCTGTACCGTGTAGGATATTTAGCAGCATTCCTGGCCTCTACCCACTAGATGCCAGTAACATTCTCCCAGTTATAATAATAAAAAATGTCTCCAGACATTGCCAAACGGTCACTGGAATGCAGGGAGATCATCCCTGGATGAAGTGCTGGATTAGAAAAAGATTTCTTAGAGAAGACACTGAAAGAACAAACCGTGAAAGAAAAAGTTTTAAATTGGACTTAAAATTAAAACCTTCTGCTCTTTGAAACACACTTCTGAAAAAATAAAAAGGCAATCCACAGACTGGGAAAAAATATTTGTAACATGTATGCCTGATAAAGAATTTATATCCAGTTTATATAAATAACTCTCATAAATAAAAATAAGAAGGCAACCCACTTAAAAACAGGTACAAGATTTGAAGAGAAAATTTTCAGAAGAAGAAAATAGGCACATGCAAAGATATTCAACATCATTAGGGAAATGCATAAAAACAACAGTAAGATACCACTTCACACTCATTTGAATGGCTAAGATTAAAAAGACTGATAATAACAAGTGTTGGCTAGGATATACAACAACTGGAACTCACATACATTGCTGGTGGGAATTTAAATAGCACAGCCACTTTGGAAAAACAGTTTGTCATCTTGTACACACGCTTATCATCTGACCCAACTATATCACCGCTAAATATTTACTCAAAAAAAATGAATGAAAAACAAATTGTGGTATATCCATCCAAGGGAATGCTATTCAGCCATAAAAAGGAATAAATTACTGACACATACGATAACATGAATGAATCTTAAAAGTATTATGCAAGGCAAAAGAACCCAGACATAAAACTATATACCGTATGATTCCACTTAATAAAATTCTTGAAAAGGCAAAATCATATGACAGAAAGTAGATTTATTGCTTGGGTTGGGGAATGAGAAGAGGAAAAGGACTAACTGCAAAGGGACAGAAGAGAACTTTTTCTATACCTTTCTATGGAAATGTTCTCTATTTGGACTGTGGTGGTGGTTATATGATTGTATATATTTGTCAAAACTCATTGACTTGTACACTGAAATGGACAGATTTTATTGTATGTAAAGGATACCCCAACAAGCTGATTTAAAACAATATAAAAGGGAAATTACCCAGTGCTGAGGTTTCCAGTAGCCAATGATTAGACAGGGGCTTGACAGAACCCTGTCCACAGACTCCCCAGCTTCCCTGTCTCTACACAAACATTAGCTTTTAAGGACTGGGCCCTAGAAAGCATGCCAGACATCTTCAAGAGAAAAAGACCACATGGAGACATCCAAGCGATACCTACCACCAGTGCTCCTGCTTTCAATCCAGGATCATACGGAACTCTGAAACTTTTGGGGAGATTAGAATTCTGCAGGTTTTCAAGCTTTTGCTTCAGTTGTGAAATAACTGTAATTGTCAAAAGTACATAGGAATGATGTGAGTCCAAGAAATTATCAATATTATCTATAACACTTCCTGAGAGTATACTTACTTTCCCAGCATTCTATATATTTGTTCTGGTGTGGTGCAGGAGGAAAGAGCATAGGGCCCTGCCTTTGAGGAACTACCCATCTGAAGTGGTGAGATAAGTCAGGCTTACCATGAGCAACACACCACGTACACATACTACAACAGGGGACAGAAATACATGAATACGTGTGGGATGGCACGCAGATGCCAATATGATCACGTAAAGAAGGATGTTATGAGCGTAATGCTAAGGAATCAATACTATAGTTTTCTTTCCAGCATTTGAAACTTTAAACTGCCATTTGATTTGGGGAATAGACATTTGAAGACAATAACAAATGAAATTTGGTTAGGGTTTTGTAAACTCTTTTCGAAAGAGCAAGTTAGGCTGTGTAGAGAAAATGTGACAGCCTCAAAATTCTAACGGAAAAATATATAAATTAAAAATTACTCTCTGGATAACAGATAGAATGGAGGTCAGTACAAATCCTTCCCTTTCTTAAAATAAAAAATAAAAGTAAGATTACTATTACCATTATCAATTTTAGGAGATAGCATTATTGACACATTGAAAAAGAATCAAAGGGAAAAAGTAGAAATTTAAAATATTCAGAAGTTTAAAATACTGGATGAGTATATCAGTACATATCTATATAATGAGCCATAGTGCTAGGTCCAGGTATATAAAAATGAAAAAGAGATATCTCCTGCCTTCAAGGTTCATACAGTTTACCAGACCAGAGCGATATATTAATGACTTTAATTTAATGTAGTATTAGTCAAAACCTATGGGAATACAAAGAGGGAGTGATTAATATTCCTAGGGCAAGGACAAGCTTTCTTAGGGTAGGGATAAGAGAATACTGGAAAAGGCTTAAGAGAGGAGGTAGTGTGTGTGTATAAAGGTGAGATATACACATATCTTTATATATCTATATATATACACAGTCATCTCTCAATATCCATGGGGGATTGGTTCTTATATTGTATTGTTTAGGGAATAATGGCAAGAAAAGTCTACACATGTTCAGTATAGATGCAATGTTTTTTAATATTTTCGATCTGTGGTTGGTTGAATTCACAGATGCAGAATCCATGGAAATGGAGGACCAACTGTGTGTGTATATACATACACATATACATATTAGTCTGATATATATACATGAAGAAATGTAAAAAGTTTAAAATAGCCTCTCAATAATTCATTGCTTGAAAAGACTGAAAACTTGGAAACCATATGCACATATTCAAAGATGCAGAGAAAAAGGTAAAGATTTGGAAACAATCTCATGTGTGTGTGTGTACAACTGTTCTTAAAGAATACATCTTACATCTGCATAATGCCTTTTAATTTTTTGAAGAGTTTAACATCTATTGTCATAACTTCATCATTAAGCATATACATATAGTTAAAAAATTATTAATTTGTAAAAGGAGAACTTTAAATTTGCTTACTCCATGCAGACAAAATACTAAAGAATATGTTCTTGGCTGCCTTTATGAAGAGACAACTTGGCTTCCAGAAAGAAGAATTATAGGGCATTTAGAGATAAAGGCATTTAGAAAGAGAACCAAGAAAATAAAGCCACTGTACCTTGGGAACTGACATCATACTTTTCGGCAGAGAGTGATTTAATATCGATGGTGACTTTCTGTAACATCTCGATTACTTGAACTTGTTGGGTAAAGTCATGCAGCATGGCTGTGCCACAGCCTCTCAGATAGGCTTCTAGAATCACAGCGAACCTCTGCTGATAGTGTCTGGACTGGGCTATCTCACTTCTCAAGAACCAAAACAAGAAGTGACCAATTCTCTTGTTCTGAGGGTGAGTACGAGAAGGTTAAAGTTATTATGACTAATGCTCTAAGTCTACCAGTCAATGCTTGTGGATTTAAAATTTCACACTATTATCAAAGTGGAAGTACTTACTCTTAAACCACGCTTTAGCAGGAATCTGGCAAGGGCACTGTCATGGTATGGTTCAAATTTCACAGCCTAAAGGAGGAACACATTAGCATTTGTAAGATTGCATTACTCATAGGTGAATCAGGAAAAGAAACCAGAGAAACTGGCACTCTGCTTAGAGGGTCTTTATGGCTAGAGTGATGAGAATCTCACCAGTTAAGCTCCTCTCTTTTTGAAGACACTTGAGACCAGAATAAACCACTTGCTTAAGATCATAGAGCATCTGATAACAGAACTGGGATTAGAGGCCAGAACTGACTCACAGCTGGGAAGGTGAAGAGGTGAGGGCATTTGCTCCAATTAAAGATGTACTGTTTTTACTGGAAGGGCAGAAGGGGAAGATGCAGATGGCTATAAGAAATCAGCAAAGTAGAAGAAAAGTGAGGTTATGAGAAACAAAATGGACAGTGGAGAGAGATGTATAGTACATGTTAGAGAAAAGTATTTGTTAGATGTGAAGATCCTAAAAGCCCGATAGCTTCCCTTTTTGGCTTCTCGCTGGCAAGTCACAGGTTCTCGCTGCAAGTAAACAACTGGCTTAGATCAATCTACACAGAGCAATCACTACCACCCTGCCACCGTATGGTATATACAGAGCTTTTTCTCCAAAAATCCCTGATTTTATATGCTTCCTTGGGTAGGATTTGACCTTCATTTTTAGTGGTTAGGAGTTTTCGTACCACTTGGCTAATGTACAGAATAGTGACTTAGACGACAGCTCTATTACTGAGGAAAAAGAGCCAATAAAATGTAAAAAATGATTAAACTTGATTGCATGAATATTTGTTACATTAGTCTCTGTACTTTTCTGCAAGTTTAAAATAGGTAATAATTTTTAAAGTAGCAAGACTAATAAATAGTTTGGATTATTATACATGCATATACAAAGTTAGAAGATAGATGTCATACATAAACATGAAGAGAGGTTTAAAATTAAATATCTAGGAGTATTCCCTTTATAAATAGAAATAGTCTATCCTTTTTTTCCAAGCAACAGAAGAAATTGCCATTCTAATTTACATTTTAGGGTCTGAGGGCTTCTTGGTAGGATTTACAATTCTTACTTTGGTTTCCAGTTTGAAAATGATCAATATTGACTTCATAATGTTTCAATTATACCCATGTTCTCAAAAGTGCTTTTCATAGGTGTGGTCAAATGGGTTCCTTCGTAGCTGCATCTAAGGCCTTAATTCTGAGAATGTGGTTATTTAGCCACCAGTACTCAATTTAGAAATGTTGTACGTTTTTAACCCTAATATGAGTCTTTCTGACCTTCTTTATGTTTCACTTCTCTAAAGACAATGAAGATCTCAACTAAGACACCATTTTGATCTGGAATGAGTCATTTAACCATGAGCTGAAGATGTTTCAAATAGTTTTACAAATGACTACTCTTCTATAAATTTAAAACCACAAATTCAATGTTAATATTATTTATTGACCTCTTTCATTTAAAACATTTCCAAGAAGAACACTATTCATTTGTCAATTCTACAAAGTTTTTTTGTGAAAATGACAATGAAGAATAATTCATGGTAGCCTTGTGATTTGGAACAGAGCTCATGCAAATTTGTTTTATGTTTTTGTTACAGAGAACTAGAAAACTGAAGATCTTTTGATTATTCTAAAATTCTTTAGTGTTATGCCAGTATCTGAACTAGTGGGTAGAAAAAATATTGGATATATTTAATAGATGAAAGCAAAGGTCAAATAATGTATTTAACGTATCTGACTAATGGGAAGGTGAAGATTCAGAGTTAAAGTTGGTAATATCCAAAATGCTTATCAGAAAACTCCATGGACTTCCTATAGAGAGTGATTAGACTGTTTAGCGTCTAAAATTTAGCCTGGTTAATCCTAAAGATCTCAGGTCAAACATCACCTACTTAGAACTGTCCCTGAGTCCCTCAGTGAAAATTAAGTGTCCCCTGCATTCCTGACTGTTTTCTCATAGCACTCTGCAGTTTTCCCCAAAGCATTTGTCACAATTTGGTATTAAACATCTGTTTGCGTGTGTACTCATTTAATGTCAGTCTTCTCAGTACAAGTCGTCGAATTAATGAATGAACAGGTCTGTGCTCTAAAATAGCATTTCTATTCCAATTCTTTTACTTGCTTTTCCTTGTCAAGCAGTACAATGTAATTTGAGAACTGCTATAGAACAGGCAAACCGTTCCTTCTTTCTTTTACTCCCTAGCTACACCTTAGGCAAATCACTTAGCTTCTCAGGACTCCAGGGAACATCATGAGAACCGGTGTGGAAACACCATTCCATACCTGCCTAAAGAGAGGAGCTTTCAAGATTCAACTCAGATGTGAGATGTTATTCTATGGATTGTAATAAACACAGGCAGAGAATAAGACCGTTTCTGTCTAGCCCACACCATCCAGACACTGGACTGATCCAGAATCTCGGTAATAGTGAAAAGAGTAGAGCATGGAGTCAGATCTCCCAGGTTTTGATTCTGGTCTGCTTCTTTCAAAGTATGTGACCTTGGGCACATTACTTAGTCTCTTGTGCCTCAGTTGCCTTATGTATAAAATGCAAATGCTATGACCTCCATTATAATTGTTGGGAGAGTTAAATGAGATAACAGACAAAAAGGATGTAAATCGCCTGAAGCCTTGGCACAAGGAAGCCTTCAGTAAGTTGAATCTATCATTAAAATAATAAATGAGAACAAAGTATTCCCATAGGGCCAATTCTCCTAAAAAGTGAAGTACTAATGTTTTTAAAATGCTTGCACACAAACCCTCAAAGACAGCAAAAAAGTAAATGGAACAGTTTACTACTTTTTGAGGTGGCTTCATCAGATCTGCTTTGACCGATGACAAAGCCCTGAGCAAAGGGCATTAGAGGACAACTGAATGCTGTGCCTGTGCTCATGCAAATAAATTCCTTTCGAGGAGGGTTCTGTTGATAACACCAACATCCCTACCTGGACCAGCTGTAGAAGGTAATGTAGAACATCATCGTCCTCCAAGCTCTCCAGTTTCTGAACTGCAATGGCTCTTACATTTTCATCTGAAAAGTTGCAGTCCAGGAGTTGCATCGTTAAGCCAACATCCAAAGCACTTTGATCCCAGACCTCCCTTCTGGCTAACAATTGGTATGTTTTAGCCACAATTTCTTGCTGTCCCCATTTCACTGAGCTAAACAGCTTAGGATATGCTTTGGGATGCTTAAGGCTTTCATATCTAAAATGCCAGAGCAATTCTTTGTCTTCTGCTGTGAGAGGGTTAAGTGGATCGGTGGCTATGATCGCCTCCAATTGCTTGCGAAGCTGGTTGGGCATTTCTGCTCGAACCCGGTCACCTTCGGGGTCAGGGCTGGGCTGATGCTTAGGCAGGGCTATTGGGTGACAGTAATTGTCCAGAAGAATGGAGATGGACATGGAGTTCTCCTTGTCTGGGTTGGTCGCAGATGTGAGCTTGTCGGCGCTGAAACTCCCTTGGTCCTCTCCCTTCCCGGATATCTGCCACATGTGCAGAACGTATTCTCCACGGCGCAGAAGGAACCGGTGGTCTATCAGCAGCAGATTCACATAATAGAGAAGCTGAGCTTTGCCTTTGGACTCAGAACCGGAAGTGTCTGCAGAGACCTTGCCGGACAGTGCTGGAGCTTTGCCGCAGTAGATCTGGAGGTTCAGCAGAGCCCCTTTGGGCAAGTCTTTGATTTTGATACTGAACTCAAGCCACACATTCCAGAGCACCTCTTCTGTGAAGGGTTTGGGGCTGGTTCTCCTTTGGCAAAGGACTTGCTGCCCATGCTGGATGTTTGCCTCTACAAAAACTGTGAGGTCAGCATTGCGGGGCAGGACCGGGATATCAATGCCTCTGATCTTGACCCTAAACTTCCGGTCGCAGTCCCACAGGGACACGGTGAACACACTCTCATGGTCCTTGCCGTGGATGGTCAGCTGCTCATGGTAGCCGGTGACTCCCGTGCAGTCATCCACCAGCGGCCACTCTTCTTTCCTTACGTCGTCCAGGGCTGGGTCCGGAGGTGTGTCAAGCACCAGGTGAATCTCTTCTCCATTCTTGAGGCAGTGCCTCACCCACTGGAAGTTTTTGATGGGCGTTTCACCCACCAGGTACTCATCCCGGCCGCAGACGCGTAGTACAAAATCCTGTTCGTTCTGGCTTTCGGGTATGTCCATCAGAGACTTCTTCTTGGCCATCTTGGTGAAGAAGCTCTGGAGGATGGTGCCGGGGGTGTCCTCGGCCGAGACCTTGATGGTCTGGCTGGTGGTGCTGCGGTGGATGATGATGAAGATGCAGTTGTTGGCAATCTTCTTGGACAGGTACTCAGGGAGGGGCTTGGACGTCACCCAGGGGTGCATGGCGTAGAGCTTGGGGTCACGGCCAGCCACCTCGGCCATGCGCGGGGTGACCAGGCGGCGGCGTGTGAACTCCAGCTCGTCGTCGTGCACGTTGCTGACGTCGGTGACGTCATAGCCTATGAGGGCGGTGAGCTGCCGCTGGAAGGCCTGTGTCTCCTCAGAGGGCGCGCGCCGCTGCACCAAGTGGATCTGGCCGGGACTCCGGTGCAGCACCTGCCAGTAACGCAGGCAGTCCAGAGTCTGCACCACCTGGTACTTGTCGTAGATCTCGTACCACTGGCCCTTCTTCTGGTAGAGCAGGAGGAAGTGGTCCGGGCCGAGCCGGTGGTAGAAGTCCGCCGCCACGCTCGTCTCCAGCGCGCGCAGCCACACTTGGGCCTTCATCTGCTCCACGTTGCCGTGGCCCGCCACGTGCAGCAGCGCCGTCTCGGGGCTCTTGCTGTGGCGCTGGCTGGTGGGCAGCACGAACTCGATGGGGATGAGCTCCATGGGGGACAGGCTGGCCACCGCGCTACGCGGCTTCATCCTCCGGCGCCTGCGGCCGTTGTCCTCTCTCAGAACCACGGGCTGTTCATAGTTCTCCAGCTCCATGCCCTACGCGACCTGCGAGCGGAGGAACAGAGGGCTTTGTCACAAGAAAGGCACTTCGTATTTTCCTGTGAGATAGCAGAAGAGAAGGAGCAGAAGAGTGACGTGCGCGTGAGGACCCAGAGGGACCAAGTACTTCAAGCTGGAGGCACTACAGCCTTCAGAGCAAGCGCTTTGGAGTCAGGCCCCATGAATGCTGGCCCCACCCCTTACTCTCTGCGCGACTTGGGCTAATTAATCTCTGAGCCTGTTTCTCCTCTCTCAGATGAGTGAGTATACCTCAGAGGGTGCAGGTGAGAGTTAAATAAAGTAATACTTGTTCAATAGCAGCGATGGGCATGTGGGGGTTCACTGCTCACTCTCTCTACTTTTGTATAGTTTGAAAAATTTAATAAAAAAAGAGATATGGAAAACACTCATCTAGCACAGTGCCTGACACATTAGTAATTGTTCTTAAGTATACTGAAACACATAGATGAGTAAAATGATACAGTTAAGTATAAAGTCTTAGTTTCCAAGTGCAACGTGAGGTGCTTAAATACCTCACTCTGTAAATAGGCCTTAAACTTACTTCCTCTTTGTTCAGTCTCACACTTCTTGGAACTAGACACCTTACCCAACCTCTCTTCATGTTCCCTATTTTCAAACTGTCTGGACTCGGGATCCACTCCCTACTCAATTTCCTGCCTTTTTTACTTTTCATTTTTTTCTTTCTATTTAGGAAAGCTACACATTTCATTCATAAAACTCAAAAATATCACAATTGGCAAGGTTGCAATCAAAACTAACTGCAGATACATAAAATTTTGAATCATGAAATGTGTAAACGTTCTAGCTGTCATTGCTATATTAGGTTGGTGGCTAAGAGGAGTCATCCAAGCCTGTACTCTCCTAATATGAACATTCAGGGAATTTTAATTTTGTACCCATTCGTTTGATCTGCCTCTACTTTAGACAGTGGAGGAGCCACAGGACAGAAGGCAGGATTTCTACATTCCAGTGACCTGCTGTTTAGACCCCAATCAATTATTTAACTTCTTTTTTGCTCTAATATTTTCATTTCTAAAACATGAATTCACAAATTTATTCTGATTAATTTATCCACCCTTTCTGCAAATGTTTAAGTATCTGCCCTTCACAAAGCATTTTAGTATAAATGTGACATATTGCTGTAAGAAACCCTTCTAATGATTGAAATGCTAAAAGTATGAAAATTGAAAGATGAATAATAAAATATTTGATTTTAGTATTTAGTATCAATTCATTGTAATACATTATATTCTAAATAAGAACCAACCGTTGAAAGAAAAATTAATGTTTCAGAAAATATCATTTACTCTCTTAAATGACTAATGTTAGTGAGATTAAAAACTACTTATTTCCTTAAGAAATAATGGAGCATCAATGTGTACCGAAAAGGAGAGTTTGATTAAAAGATAAGAAAGGCAAGTTTCATTAGATTCAAACTTATATTTAAATCTTGGCTTTACTTACTTTTAAAGTCAATATTCCCTCTCTTAAAATACTATGAAGTTATACTTAGTAAGTAAATGAAACCAGCTGTCCCAAAGAACTGTCTCTTGCAGCTTAAAACATTCATTTTGGTCTTTTGCTACCTTATATAATAACTGACAAAGATGAGAACTGTAAGGTATGTTAATATTGACAGTAACTTGAAATATGTCCAAATTTAGGCAACATGCAAATATACAACAGTAACATCTGCCTCAGTGATACCAAACAATCTTAAAGGATGCAGAAGAAAACAGGCTGAATAAATACTCACTGGTTTCCTGCATGGTTGAGGCTATGAAGCTTTCTCCTTTTATGAGAAGACGTTGGAAGATTACTGTAAGTACAGTAATCTCTAAGCATGCACTTGTAAGAATGTGAAGCCTGGATGGCTCAGGCTCCCGTGCCCTCCCTTCTTCCTCCCAAACAGAACCAAAAAAGAACCGATGCACCTGCAAAACTCTTGTTGGAACCTTGTGGACATCCACAGTGTAGCTTGGACTAGACAATGAAACACAGACATTCAGTGGTGGTATCATCTCAAGAACCGACAACAACAGTTCCAGATAAAAATATTCTAGCTGAGAAGGAAGTGTCACTATTCCGAGTCAGACCCAACAAAGGGCAAAAAATAGAAGGAAGCAATACCTGATAAAGCAGCGGAGGCGATGATGCTGAAGGATCATTTGTTTAATTTTTGAAAACAAAACAAATTCAAACCTACCCAGTGTGCTTCTAAACTCTTCCGCTTTTTGGGGGCTCCCTTCATATCCAGATGCAGAGGAAGTGTTGCAGTTACCAGGAAGGAAGTTTTAACCAAGTTGATTATACGTGTGATTGCTCATTTTAAAAGTGTCAGAAATGCATTTCCTGTTATAGCACAGAGAGCAAGAACATGAGAGTGAGCCGTGTTTACCGTATTTTTTTTTACTCTTTGAACTAATTTTTCAAAAATTGTGGGAGACTGAGACAAATTAAAACTGCATGGATCCAAACCAAAAATACACATCATGAGACACAAACAAATGCAATATTTTTGTAGCTAGTTCTAAGTATAAGAAAAGGCCTAACAGCCCCAATATTAGACATCCGATTAGGGAGATTTTTTTAACAGCCAAATTAAACCTCTTCCCCTCATGGGAATTCAAATGAATCCTTGTTCATATACTGTAACTGATGGATGGGGGAAGAGAAACCTAGTAATACTGAGGACTGAGTTATCAAGCTGAATATTTTCAGAGACAAGTTTTGGGAGCTCACTTCCTTAGCTCGGCGAGAGATTTCTCTATTTCTTCAGAGCATTTGGGGCCCAAAATATCACTGGCTCAAACTGAAAGTACTGCAGCATGTGCCTGGGTATGTGTGTAAATGTGACATGCTGCGGTAAGAAACCCTTAAAATAATGGTTGAAATGCTAAAAGTATTAAAATTGAAAGATGAATAATAAGGTATTTAGATTTTAATATTTAATATCACTAAATTATACTACAGTATATTTCAAACAAGAAATCAACTAGTGAAACAAAAACTAATGTTTCAGAAAATATCATAAATGTTGAGGGTGGAGGCTTACTGTGAGCAATGATTCATTGCCTGCAGACAAACTAGGAGGTTGCCTGGTATCAAGGGGAAATTAGGGAGCTGAAAACTGTCACGGCATCTAGCAGACAGAGTCACTGGGAGATGGTGCCTGACTGCCGTGGGAGCAGAGAATACACAGAAAAGCCATCCTAAGTCGTTTTTAGAGTAGTTCTGTATTTTCCAGGTGACCTCAATTCCTTCTGGAACCTCCAAGCACACTCAGATCCTGAACCAGCGCCCCCTCCCCTCCATCTCAGAGTTCCACATACCAGAGTTCATCCTCTGAGCTGGGCACTCCTGCTCCAGCTAAGCTCCAGGAACAACAGGTGGGATGGAGTTGGCCTCACAAGTCGCTTGCAGGTATGTAGGAGTTCCTCTGGATTACTCTTATATCAAGATAAATAATTGCTTGATCTGACTATCTCTTTTCACATGGGCCTTTTAGGTCTTAACTTTTTAATAGCACTGTAATAGTTGACATCAGCAGGCAAATCATTTAATTCAAAGGCTGCCTGCCAAATATTTAGAGGAGGCTTATCAGCCTCCCAAAGTATATTCCTATATAAGAATACTCCCTTAGGAGGTTGGCCACTATAGAAGCCTCAAGGTTGGTCTTCTTGGTTGGTCCTGAGGGAAGACTACGACACTGTAGCCACCAAGCCATGATATAGGAGCTTGCCAACCTGTGATTTACCCAGAGTGTGTAGGAGGGTACATGTGGGTTGGAGGGGTGGGAGGAAGGAGGCTTGAGGGTGGGAGGGCTCACCTCAGAGGAACCATGAGCTAGGCTAGCTCCATTTCCAAGACCATTCAACAGATTCTTCCCTGTCCTGGCTCAGTGACTTCTAGGGGGCCAAGTCCCAATCTGGCACTAGACACACATACACATTATGCTAGAAATACTAGACTCAGGCTCTGGTATATCCTTGCTTCTGAAGGAACTATTCAGCTAATTGGATCACGCAAAGGTTGTCTGTTCCATGACTAAACTTGCAAATACATCAGGCTTTATTGGTGGGTGGAGATGAAAGTACCCTGCTCTTCTCCAAATCTTAAATAGCCACTAAAATTTGACTATATGTAGTACATGTTCCCAGGGAGAAGTAATGGCAAATGTTTCCTTCCTCAATGCGGAGGCATTCTTTACTAGTAAGAATATTTTATACCCAGAATTTTTAGTGTAGAAAACCCCTAGATCTCATCATTATCCTGTTTTATTAATATGTTTCTTATTTTTCCCTTCTGTGAATCTGTAGACATACAATAAATTTTGTTTGGAAAAAAAAACGTAATCAAAGAGTCTGACCCTCTGTATCATATCCAACTATCACAGGAATGGCAAGATAGAACAGATTAGAAAATAAGAACACAGTAGGAAGTATCAAAGATAATAAACGGATTAAGAATTAGTTGTTTGTTTTGAGAAAGGCTCTTTGCAATGGCCTTCAGAGAGATTATTTATGGTTTAGTTGGAAAAACAAAACATGCAGATGAGAAAACATGTGCAATGTGGTAGTCTATACAGTCCAAGTGGTTTAACTGTGTTATGTACCTTTATGTAATCCAACAGTTTACTGGAGAAGATCATTTTGGGTGGGATTTAAAAAAAATTATTTTAAGTATTCAGAGAATATTTTAAATAATCAAAGGAGCAGGTCCCCCAGCCAAAAGATATTTGGGGACGGTGAACAGAGCAGTTCACGGAAATGGAGAGTTTGCGAAAGACAGCAGTGTGAGATATGAGGAAGCCTGTGGCAAGATAAGCTCGTGCTTCCCACACTTATTTCATGTCTTGGCACATGTGAATAGTCGTGACATGTGTATGGCACACTGGGTTAAACTGAGGAGGCTCCTCAAAGCTCGAGACTATGCCTGCAGCCCCAAAGCCCTCACCCCTTAGTGCGCACTGGTTGGGAAGCTCTGTTATTGGGTATTGTTCCTGGCTGGAGTAGCTATCTGACTCAGACATGAGGGTGTCTTTCAGCTTGAAAAAGCACTACGATCCCTCATTTTTTCAGCTCAACCTCCGATGGCTTATACACTGTGAACAAAAATGCATTTTAATCTAATCTAACAGTTTAATTCACCTTCATACCTTGCTTTGGGCACAAAGGCAAACGTTTATTGAAGCTGTGCCCAATATTTTTTGGTATGCATTTGGTAAGATTAAAGACAAGCATCCTGGTATTGTAGAAGCACTAATATTCACGAGACCTAGGTTGATTCCTGCTCATTCTTTAGGCCTAATATATGCCAATTCATGTCTCTTGGCTTCCTCATCTACCAAAAGGATAATAACCACCCTACTTATCTCATAGGAAGTTGTTAAAAATCTTCAATTTTCAACGGAACAAAAACTTATCTAACTATACTATGTAAGATATTGGATTAGATGCTACAAAGGACACACGATTTCAAGTATCCCATACCAAAACAATATAGAGAAAAAGAACAGCCCATGTCATCTGTGTGGTTCCTTTTCAGAGAGAGGAAAACTTTCCCAGAAGCCTTGTGAGTTCCCTTATGTCTCTAGCCAGAATTGTAACAAGTGGCCATCTACACCTCAGCCCATCAGTAGGAAGGGGGATGGAATTATGTTAATGGTTTAAGCTAATCAGGATTTACCCCTGAGTTCCTGGCCGACCAAAGAACAGCAGACACCAGAACAAAATGTCAGGGCTTTGACAGTAAGGACAAAAGGGTACTGGGGAGGTCCACAGGAGACTCTGACACAGCTTTGGTGCCATTAGGGAGGTAGACTATTATCATGCCATACACTTAGAGGGCAGCCATTCCAGGTTCTGAGAAAAGAAGCTGCAGGAAATCAGACACAGTCAACAGAACCCCCAGGATCTATAGCCAGATCCAGGTGCCTGTGTCTATGGGACATTCTACTTCATTCACCATTCTTTCTTTTAAGAGACAGGGTCTTGCTTTGTCACCTAGGCTGGAGTGGAGTGAAGTGGTATGATCATAGATCACTGCAAACTTGACCATCTGGACTCAAGCGATCCTCTTGCCTCAGCCTCCTGAGTAACTGGGACTATGGGCCTGTGCCACCATGCCCTGCTAATTTTTCTTTTTTAAAATTTTTTTGTAGAGACAGAGTCTTGCTATGTTGCCCAGGCTGGTCTTTTACTTTTTTACAATTTTTTAAAAAACTTCAAAGTATTAAAGGGGTATAAATATTTTTGATTATACATGGATTACTATTATAATGCTTCAGTCACAGCTATAAGTGTGCCCATCATCCAAATAGTGTTTATTGTACCTGTTAGGTAGGATTTTGCCCCTCATCCTCAGGCTGGTCTTGAACTCCTGGCATTAAGCAATCCTCCCTCCTCAGCCTCCCAAAGTGCTGGGATTAGAGGCGTGAGCCACTATGCCTGGTCTCACCATTCTTATCTGAAATTGACCACTGAGTGCACTTTTCTCAATTTCCTTGCTCAGTTAAATGTTGCCAGTACAGATTAGTGAGCACTTCACACATTTCTTGAAAAGATTTTTCTATAAATTGATTTTTAAAAATCCAGATTCCTTTGCATGATACATTAGACCCTTTATGATCGATCACTTATGATCTATCCTTAACTCTGCCTCATCTTCCAAATCCCATCCATGATTCAATTAAACTGATCTTTACTCTTGCTTTCTGTGCTTTTCCACATGTCTAGGCCTCTGTATGCTGCTCCCTCTGTCTTCTCCCCTCTCTGTATTCACTTCTCGCCTCTCCCTCCCCTTCTTTCATCCCCTCAGCCATTTGACCAACTCCTGCTGCATCATACTCAGGGTGACGAACCTCCTCTCTGAGGGCTTTCTTGGTTTGGGGTTAGGGCAGCTTTCCCCTGTTAGTAACCTTCCACAATAACAATAAGATCACCACCACCAAGAACAAACTCTTTTATAGCACTTTCTGAGTCTTACATTGTTCTAAGAACTGTCATACATTCATTCATTTAATCCTCACAACATTCCAAGGAGAGGGGCACAACTATCACCCCCATTTACAGATGATGAAAGCAAGACATAGAGAAGTGAAGTGGGTTGCTCCAGGTCCTACAGCTGCTAAGAGGCAGAGTCATAATGCTTCTCCCAGGGGAGGACAGCTGTTTACTCAGC